TACATTGTTTATCAGCTTTTATTTCTTATTTTAAGCTTCTTCACACCAGATAAAAGAGCATTTCCTGTACCTAACCAGGGAATAACAGTAGAGAACAATCCAACATTCTGCTACACTTTTAATTCTGCAGTTGGAAAACCTGAAACTGTGGGAAAAACTTTACCAAAATCCTCGAGTGAGTATGACCTGGCATACAGGTTTTATATACAAAATAAATAGGAAACCTAACATGGTATGTTTGTCATAGGAATTTTATTACCATTGGCAAAATGCGTCTTGTTTTGGGTTTTATTACCCATTGGCAAAATGGGTGTTGTTTTGGGTTGTATGGCTTGCGTACTTTATTTGGATGTCATCATACTTTTCAACTGTGTTCAAGAGTAATGGTAAACAGTGCGCATGCGTCGTCATTGCATGCGTTGCTATGGCGACCGCTGCTATTTGATAATTTTTTTAGAATTCTCTTTTTCTTTTCATCCGCAATCATTCTTACTGTATTTACATAATAATAATTTAAAGTACTTTTATATTCCTTTTATTATTAACTTATAATTACTGTGTTAACTGTGATTTCAATATAAATATGAATACTGATGAAGGAAAAGTATTTTGTGACATGTTGAACAGGATTTGCAAACTAATATCAATTGAGACAGTTTTTGCAACCCATGATTTGAAATGTTGTGGCGTTTATCGGAGTCAAACCAGAAAAAAAGCATTTCAAAAATGGATAACCAGTGATCGTAATAAAGCGATAAAAATTTTTTGTTGTTGTTGTTGTCGTCGCCCATTACAGCAGAAGGGATGCGATTGTTCTTGTCTCCAGTGGCGCCACCTATGGCCAAGAATTCGACTCTTGCCACACCCATATGTCACACCCGTTTATCAGGTGGACAAATTTATACATCCATTCCTTCATCCACAAATCGTAATTTTGACTTAAATCAGAGAACGATCAATCTCCAATTCGGTTCCCCCCGAGATATTGATTTGTTAAAGGAACACGGAGGACTTTGTGACCCAACATATTTACGTGCACCAGACGCTATTTACTAAGCGGGGAGTCCTCGGCCGGCTGGATTCGAATTCCCGTTCTGATAAATGTGAGTTAAGCTACTATCCAGGACAAGGAGTTTTATTAATTACTGGTTTTACTTTATAGTGTAATGAGAAATTATATGAAATAATTAGTTTCGCAGTAACTCTTTAAACTATTGTATAATACTAATTATTGTATAATACTAATAATTAGGTCAGCGGAGAAAGATTATCTTCGAGTTTTTAAAAGCATAAAAAATCTATGACAGTAATGAGAATACAATTATTTCTGAGGTAACACTTTCTAGAAGTCAATAATAAGAAGTCATATTGCAGATGCAGAAAGCTTCGAACTTCTATTTATAGGTAATATAAATAATCATAGTTATAATTATGGTAGTCTGTTGGCGAATAATTTCCAAGTTTATTTTTAAATTTTTTGTTGATTAAAAAAAAATTATAATTAGTATTTATATGCGATAAAATTTTTTGGTTTCGGACGGATTTTTAAGAGTTCTAAACACGTGACGCTACCATTTATAATTTAATAATTCTTTCATCAATAGTTCAAAAAATTCAGCGAGAAAGAATAATTATTAAGGAAAAGAATAAAAACTTAACAAAAAATATCTGTTTCATCATTTTCAGAAATTTCTTTATTCTCACATCCTTACTGAGTAGTTTGACTGAACTGTTCAAATTGCATCAAGGGAATTAGCATTATCTCATGCGTATTCTATATAAATTTAAATTAGAATGAAATATTCACAGCATAAATATTACAAAATACTATTTTCAATTATGAATACAAATTTGTCATTAAAATTTTAATCTGACGCTTCTTTATTTACAAGAAAAAACTACTTTTTAAGACTCTTTAAATACAGCAACGAATTCAACCGCTTCAACGATTTTGGAACTTGCTCCTCTAGCTCCAAGTCAGGAAATTAACCCTTACAATAGGTTCGGTTTCAATAATGGAGATTCTCCACTAATATTTAAATGTATCAGATCTCGATAGCAGTTTTTCGATATAAATTTTCGCTCGTTTAAATAATACTTTTGATGGGATTCAATGAAATATAGATTAAGGCCGGTGATAACGAATCATACTGTCTATTTAGTATGTGGCAGGGTTATTAGATTATGTGGGGGCTATTAGATTATGTGGCTGGGTGGAGCAGTTGGTTTGTCCGTCGGCCTTCTGAGCCCAAGTCTGTGGGTTCGATCCCCGGCCCAGACACCATATTTTCGGGCGCCATATTCGGGACCCAGACACCATATTCGAAAATCCTCAGCGGCCATGTCGTATGATTATGCGGCATGTAAAAGATCCCTGGAGTGCCTTATTGGCTCTTGGTATTTCCGACAAAATTCCTAGTGCACTTTAGCATCCAAAAAGAGTCTCGGTGCTGCCATCTAGTGTGGCAGAAACTAGACGTCCAAATTAACATGGCCAACGGTATCACACCCATTGTGGTGGTCCTGAAAGAGTGGATACCTCTTCTGGAGAGCGCACTAGATCTGCTCATAGGGAAGACTGATTGTGCAGCTCATAGGAAATAAAAAAAACTTTATAAAGATTTTCGTGAATTAAATTATAATACAAATTTTCTTAATGCGATTATTCTTTCTTTTTGTTTTTATTTAGAGATCGAAATTGTTCTTTTGACTGAATTTTCGGAGTATCCAATCCCGAAAACGAAACCAGGATTAATAATCGCGATTCATGATAGAAAGCAATTGGTAAATCCTTTTCTTTCTGGAGATGTTTTGTATGGTGGTGATAAGTATCAATTAAGAATTGAGAAAGAGGTAAGTAATTAAGAGTTATATTACTTAATACTTATATCAGCTCAAGAAGAAAGTTTGCAAAATGTCAGATTTCATTTATTTTTTCTTTTGCATCTGTTCTTTTGATTTGGAAAGACTCTTAAAATTTAGCAAAATACTGTGCATTCAAATCTTTTGCGTCTGTACTTCTTGATTACAAAGATGCCAAAAATTTTGCAAAAAAAAAAAAAAAATTACAGTCTACCATTTAACTTTTAAAAGTCGAATGAGACAATGAAATAACCTGAGCCGCGATGACTCAGAAGATAGAACGTTCGCCTTCCAATGAGGCAAACCGGGTTCGAATCCCAGTCGATACGAATTCCGCATCCGGCTTGCACCGACCACAGTGCTAACGTGAAATATCCTGAGTGGTAGACGGATCATGGGTTAGAGTCCCCTTGCCGTCAGGCTAACCGTGGGAGGTTCTCGTGGTCTTCCTCTCCATGTATTGCAAATGCGGGTTAGCTCCATCAAATAGTCCTCCACGAAAGCAAATTTCCCCCAATACTTGATCCAGGAGTTCCCTTGTCTTCTGGATTGGGTTCAAAATTACAAGGCTACGGAGTTAAACATTAGTAGTCGTAAACCCATAAAATTGGGTCGGCTTTTCAACGACTGGTGTAAAATCTAGCATCATTCATCCTACTCAGGATGTTCCGTAATCAACTCCTTTGATGTAAACGTTAGAAAATTTCGAAATTTAACGTAATATTCATTACACTCAGGTTCCGTAATCACTACTTTTGATATAAACGTCATTGCGATTTCGGAATTTATCTCCAGCAAGCTCATTTTAATCATATTAAGGTCAAGAACCGAATTATTGCAATAACTCCTAGAAAAAAGAAGGCCTCAGATCGGGTTACCATAAACAAGAAATTTGATTCATTAATAGTCTAAACGTAATGACATCTTTTGTATTTACCACCACTACGCAGCCTTGGATCCCAAACGTAGTGACATCTTTCTTATTTTTCACCCACTGCGCAGTTTATGTTCGTTACGTCGGACTACTAAATTGATCCGTGCTGAGGCTTTCTTTCTTGTAGGAGGTGTTGATTATTGTTGAATTATCAATGTAAAGCTAAAATTAAAAACATAAAAATCTGTTTGATTGCGTCGTCATGAATTATAGTGGACTTTAAAGATGATGTTTAGTCTAATTAGTTTTTTTTTTAATAGATTCAAACTAGTCTGTTACCAGCTCCCTATGACACCAACTGCACTGACTACTTAACTCAATGGGAGCAAAACGATGGTACAGGACCTCTCGATTCTCAAGTAAAGTTGCACTTTAAGTTTGAATTTTACATTTGACAATATTTTTAAAAAGATTTTTTAATATTTTATCAGAATTTTACTTTTAAAATGTATATTGAAACCTTAAAAAACTTTTTTGTGAAGAAAATAGCTTCAAAAGCATTTAAAAATCATTATAAATTCGATATAATACTTTTTTGTGTTAAAAAAAGAAAATGTGAGAGTATCTTGAGATTAAAATTGTATGTATCACTTCAACCGGTTTTATTTATTTTCGAATTCAATGATTTAAAACTTAAATATTGTGCATTTTTTTAAAGATTCTAAAATTATATCCTAAGGATAGAAAAATTTAATTATTGACTGAAATTTCTTTCAAGATTTTTAACTGACAATAAGTCTCAAATTTCTGGTTTAGAATTTTGTTTTACTTCTAAAGTAATTTTTTTGTCATTTTGTATTACATTTCTTTGAGTGTGCTTTTAAAATTTTTAACAGAAATGATGCTAAAAACAATATAAGTTGCATTTATATTCTAATATAAGTGCAATCAACTAGTAAACATTTTCATAAATAATTTTTAAAAAGCTTACTAAGTTAACATTTTAAAAAGCTTACCAAAATAATTTAACTGAAATTTGAAAACTGTAAAAACAGCTAAAACTTAATGTGTTTGTTATTTAGTATTCGCTTAAGAAAAGCGATTAAATTGTCTGATTTCAATCAAAAATATCGTTATCCAAAAAGAATTTTTTTAAACAAAGATATTTGTTTGAAAATCGCGTATTTTTTCACTTTTAGTTTTAATATATTTTCACATTCAGTAAAATAATAATTTAAACATGTTTCTAATTTTTCAGGATTGCATAAATAACTGTATTTTAGATAATTTAATATCTATTGAATCTTGCATTCCTGATGATTTTTTTGTTCCTCACAATCAAGATATTTGCGAAGGTATGTACATTTAGCTGAGGTAAATATCTTCATTTTTGGTTTCTACTTTGCAAAAAAGTTTCGCGTATTCGAGCTCTAAAAATGGTGTCAACTGCTTTACCCTTAAGTTCTACAGCACCAAAATCTAAGGATAGTTCCGGTTGTTATGAAACTAGAATGTTCTTTCACACTACTTGGTGTAAAGTAACTGCTACCAACTACCAAGTTTGTTATTTAGTAATATTGAATCTTATAATTACAGTAAGATATACGAAGTAAGAATCAGTAAAGTTACATTTGCGAGTAAATGCAAAGCAAGAATCAGTAAAGTTATTTTTGCGAGAAAATACAAAGTAAGAATCAGTAAAGTTATTTTTGCGAGACAATACGAAGTAAGAATCAGTACTTTAAGTTGCACACATGCACTAACTCTTAAGATAAAATTACAGTTTGTGAATCAAACATACACGAAGTAACTCTCATATTAAGACGAATTAAGGCATAACAGAGCTGGGTGGGATGGAAATTATACTTTATAAAATTATTTGATACAGTTTATAAAAGCTTGAAAAAAAAATTAAAATATAAATATCCTTATTGCGCAACTGAAAACAATTATACATATTTTTTAACGACGAACTATTGTGTAGTTATTCTCTGAACTTCTGCAGAGAACTTCTACTGAACTATGAACTTATCGGTAGACTGCAGTCTCTGCAGATGAAAAACAGCACTGAAGACAGACATTAAAAAGGCGTTATAGATTGTAAACAATCACAAACGAAATCAAAACGCGCCAACATTGGAGTTTTTGGAAGTAAAAATATTTCACGCATGGTGTAATAGTGACTAATTATGGTCAAAACTTTTTGTACTTTCGAATTTTTGAACTTTCAAACATTCTTTTATAGTATGTATAAAATACTGCATTTAAATTGTTTATAAAAGTTTGATTTGGTTAAGAAAGGTTTGGTTGGAAAAATGTTAACCCACAAAATTTTTAGAGTTGATCAACATCAAATTCGGAGAGATATTATGCCATAGTTTTTACTGTGTATACTGATTCTTAAATTGAAATTAGTTTATAAATCAAATTTAATCACAGCACGCAGAGAATATTAAATTGTGAATGCGAAGAAACAAAACTGATTTGAAATAGGAAACATAAAGTTGTCAATGAAAAATGGAGAGAAAAAAAATCAATTCCAGATTGAAGTTCATTTTATCGTTGTCAACTTCACGATTTCTATTTCAAATCTATTTTGTTTTTTCTCATTAACATTTGATAAATCTTGAAAATGGGTGCTTATTTTTGAGGGCTTGAAACATGTTGACTGTTATTTCATATTTATATATTTTCGAAGCAAATGAAGCTTTTAATCAAGTAATATATTGCATTAATTTGCTTCGAAAAAATCGCAAATATTAACGATAGAACATTTTCTTAAACTTAAAAATTAATTTTTTTTTAAATTTTTAATTTTTTTTTTATACGAGGTAGTCAGTGGAATTATTTCAATTATGTAACTTCTCAAGTTTAATTATTTCAATGAAAAGAAAAATGAAGTTAATATCTAGAAAAGTGTAATGAATTAGAAGTCCTCAAAAACATGTTTATTGAAATGAACATGAAAAGAGTAGATGAATTTATTAGAATTGCTGAAAACGGAGCATAATCTCGAAATCAAGTTAAACAGCACATTAATTCTTTTTATTCAATAGAATTATTGAATATAGTCAGCAGAGGCAACAACTGATTAATCATTAAAATCATGAAAACAATATGAAAAACCATTTGACGATTCCAAATCAATAGAAAAAAAATAGAAAAGAGCCAGTGATCTGTCATCAAAATTCCGAAACCTAGACGATAAATGGACTGGCTATTCTAATTTATCGGAAAAATAGAAAAGAACCGTAAGGTAATAATTTTTTCGTGAAAAATACTGTATTTTAGTTTTTATTTCAGTTTTTAGTATCTACCGAATCGATAAACCAAAGTCCGTCCTTTTCCCGGATCTGAAATTTTATTTAATTCCCTATAAGTTTATTATTTTTTTAAATTGAGTTTAGCAAAATTATTTTAGATATTTATGCACAATTTTAAAATATAATTCAATGAATTGATGTTATTTAATTTTTCCTATTAATCATGCAAGTTGAGAACACTGGCGGATCCAGCGGCGGGTCATGNACATGAGCCCCCCCCCCCCCAAATTTTCTTTTTTTTAGAAATAAATAAATAAATAAATAAAAATAAAAAAAATTTTAATAGTTTACAAAAGAGGCCGGGATAGCCTGGTCGGTAGGGCGCTAGGCCCATATCCAAGAGGTCGTGGGTTCGATCCATGGAGTTTCCTTGTCTTCTGGATTGGTTTAAAATTACAAGGCTACGGAGTTGAACGTTAGTAGTCGTAAACCCATGAAATTGGGTCGGCTGTTCAACGACGGTTATAAAATAAAATAAAATAGTTTACAAAAGAAATAAAAATTTTTAAAAATTATTTAAGGGGGCATATACACCTAGGTAGGTCGGAAAAATCGATTTTTTTTCCAAAGCCAAGATTTGCCAAAGTTTCTAAAAAAACACATTACATTTATTATTTAAAGATGTTGAATACTTGAATTATTTATTTGTTGTTCTATTGTTCATTATGAAAAAATAAATGAAAAATCTAGCATTAAAAGCCCCAGTTTTTTCTTTTTTAAAAAAAAATATGTAAAAAAATTTTTTTTCATAAAAAAAATTAATTGTGGGAGGGATGAATCTGAGTCTATGACCCCCCCAGGAAAAATTTCTGGATCCGCCCCTGGTTGAGAAATGCTTTCTTTGGTTTAAACAATTCTTCAAGAACAATAGATCCTAAAACAGTGCAATGCAAGCTCTAATCTGGCTAGTTTTCTGAGTAATGTATTTCACCAATCAGGTTCTTATTAACATCTACAAAATACGCATAAGCGAAAAATTGCATAGAGTGTGAATTGTCCCTAAAATATCTTATTTTTATTCTTTATATAGATCTAGCACGAAAAAATATAGATTTGGATACTTATAAAGAGAGCTGTGCGATCAGTTGTGGAAATCCTTGCTTGTAAGTGTCATTATATAGCATAATTAACACTATTTACACTTTTTAATATGCTTGCTAGCTGGTGGGTGACTACTTTGATCAGTTTGCGTAGGGACCGAGGGTGCGCAGTATCGACCCTTGTTAAACTGTTCTGCAGCAAAGTGATAGATTTCGCGCACTGGTCGTCGGACTACCAAAGCAGAGGAGCCATTCAATACATCCTTGAAGAACGAAGGCCTCAGCACGGATCAATTTAGTAGTCCGATGTGACGAGCATAAACTGCGCAGTCGATGAAAAAGAAGAAAGATGTCATTACGTTTGGACTACTAAAGGATCAAATTTCTTGTTTATGGTAACCCGTGTTAAGGCTTCTCTTTTCTAGGAGGTATTGAGTCATTTCCTCTGCAGAGGATCAAAATTGTGATGACGTGTCTTCGGATCATCCTCAAAGATGTTTCCCAGACCATCGCCAATAGCCTATTGCGCAGCTCTAGTGCGTCGTTAATAAAGTACCTACCAACTTAATATGCTCTTTAGTATCTGCCATGGAAAATATCAAAACTGTGGCAACTGTCTTAATGTGGAACTGACACCATATCATGTTTTTAACTGCCCTGCAGTCGCTGCAGGCCTTCACCTCTTAAACTACCCCACAGAAGAGGATTTGTATTCATTTAATGCCATAGAAATAACAAAAACTATTCAAGCACACCATGAAATATGATTCAATAGAGGATACGACGTCAACCAACCAACCAGTATATGCCATTAGAACGCATAAACTAAACTGTTCATTCCAATTAAGCACGCAAAATTTTGCTATTTTTTGTTCTTTAATTCTTAAACAAGACGAGCTTTTCATTTAGCCGAAGTCTTGATTGCAAAAGTTTGGAAGAATTAGCTTAGATATTACTGCTCAGGGAACATGAAACATCTTGAATTCTATGAACGGACGAAGATGTCGGGGCTACTTATTTTTATACTAGGTAGTCCTAGGCGTAATCTGCGATCAAAAGATACTGAACCGGTTACTTTCATTGTGATAAGAACTAGACTAATGCATTTTTGCAAGGAAATTTCGGAGTTTCTTTTACATAATCATGATCATGAACTGTGTTATTTTCTTTGCAAAGGGTTCAATGAATTCAAATGTTTATTTTTAGTTTTCACATTTTTTATTCTTTCATTATCGCTCATTGAACGCTAATCATTTTGAATTCTATGAATTGGGAAAAGTGACAGGGTTATTTATTTTATTTGGTAGTCCTATTAGTAATTTGCGGTCAAAAAGATAGTGAGCAGGTTACTTTCATTATTGAGAATTATAATATTACCTCTTCGTATGGAAAATCTTTATGTCTAATATACACTGGTGGACAAAATTAAGACAACATCAGAATTGGACACAGCTTCAATGGGCTAATGTTCTCTTCACCGATGAGTGCAGATTCAGTCTACAACCTGATTCTGAACCGTTATTGATATGGAGGGAACCCGGAACACGATACCATAAAAGCAACATTATTGAAAGGGACAATTATACTGGTGGAGGACTCATGGTTTGGGCAGGGATCATGCAAGATATACGCACACCGCTCCATGTGTTTGGCAATGGTTCCGTGAATGCCCAGAGGTACAGGCAGGAGGTCCTAGAGTCTATCATATAGAGTCTATCATCCCCATGTGCGTCTTTTCAGGGGCGCTGTTTGCCCTGAGTTCATGTTCATGGACGACAATGCGCGACCACATAGGGCTCTCATGGTTGATGAGTATCTGTAAAGCGAGGATATTCAACGAATGGATTGACCAGCCAAATCCCCTGACCTGAATCCTATTGAACATGCTTGGGATGCTCTTCGGAGAGCTATTGCGATGCGCCAACCTCCCCCCAGAACTACTCTGGAGTTAAAAATTGCTCTGATGAAAGAATGGGAGGGTCTTCCACAAGTCCTCCTTAACTCCCTTATTAACAGCATGCATACTCGTTGTGCATGCTGTTTGTCTGTCAGGGGTCACCATACATCATACTAGAGGCAACACACTCTGTACAAGCCTTACTTTTATTGTCATCTTTTATCCTTAAGTTCAGACTGCATTGGATTTATTGGCAATAGGTCTTGCCAGTGAATGGCACTTTCATTTTTGTTTTGCATTTTTTATCATAGAATAAGCTATATCCATACCAAATTTCATTTAGTTATATTCAGTATTTTTTGGGATATTTGGGAAAATGTCTTAATTTTATCCACCAGTGTTTAATCATGATAATGAGCTCCGTTATTTTCTTTTCAGAGGGTTTAAATTCACATTTTTCTCAGTTCATTTCTAATTTTTGTTTAGTTTTTACATTTCTCTGGACGCATATTCAGCTAAAATATATGTAACATGGTGCGTAGCGTTTTTGAAAAATGCTTAAAGGTGCTTATTTTCGATTTTCGTTTTTTAAAAAACCCTTAAAGGTGCTTTTTTGATAGGGTGTTTTTAAAAAGTGCTTAATTTTCTCTTTTCGAAAATGAGATTTTTTTTCTTTGCCACGTCGATTTCCACCACAAAAGCATGATTTTCACATTGTTCTACTCAACGTTTTCACAATTGATTCAGCATCAATCTATTTCGGCGTACCGTCGGTTCATAGCGTATGAAAGCGCCAATCATTTTTTATGTTTGATAAAACACTTGCGAATCCACATGTGCGTCTACTGAGCTGGATTCGGTGAGATTATTGCACTCTCATGTGCTTTGCAAGATATTTTCAATTTCGGGCTTCATTTTCCACCTTCTGATATCGAATCGAAAAATCTCTTTATTATTTTATAATGGCTAATATAATCAAGTAAAGAGTACTTTTTCAGAATTTTTATTTTATCATGATCATGTAGTCTTTGAAAATTATTTTGCATTTTGTTAATGTATATAGTCCTTAAAAATATTTTTTAAGTACTTAAAACGTGCTTATTTTTTGTTGAAAGATTTGGCTACGCATCCTGCGTAAAATTATCTCTGATTTTATTGCTCATTGAACGAGAATTATCTCGAATTTTCTATGAATTGAAAAAAAATGACTGGATTTCTTATTTTTTTCCTACGTCATCCTTGGCGTAATTTTCAGTCAAAAAAAAAAGGTGAACCGATTACTTTCATTGATAAAAATTCGTTTTCTATACAAGTTTGCAATATTCTGAGTTTTTTATATGTATTCATGATCACAGTCTCTGTTAACATCTTTACAAAGAGTTCAATAAATTAATATTCTTCTTGATTTTATTTTGTTTAAATTTTGCATTGCTGGTGTGCATTATTTAATGAAAACTATCGGCTTGCAACCAGCCTACCGCCATATATTTGGAATCCTAAAAAAATGTGAAATTATTCTTTGAAAATTTTCGAAGTGGAAGTAGGTTTTAATGTCTTTTGACAGTCAAAAGGCAATCAACTATCTTTAAAAAACCTCTTTTTGCCGCAAATTAAAACACTGAAATTGTAAACACTATGGAGATAAACATTAATGCTAAACTACATCCGTTTCAGAAAGTGTTAATTACAAAATTTACATATTTTGCTCTAGTTTTTGTTCCATTAAAAATAACTAATAAGATTTATACATTTTCTTTTAAATTAAGTAAATGTATTTCAAATTCTAATGATAATAAGTATTTATTGACAAGTTTCCTATAGCCTATATGATCGCCAAATATATATAGATATAAGAACTTTAGGCATATCAGAATCTTGCTTCAGCGGCTATATATATATATATAAAATAAATGAAAAATC